TTTTGACTGAGGGTACTTTCCAAACCATGGCACAAAGAAGTAGACCCCAAAGAGAGAGAAGCAATCTCACTGATCAGGGTATCAGAGAGAAAGAATTTACACTAGCAGCATGAGCCTCAGAAGTCAGCACGGGGGCCACCTCTGGTCATTGGCCAAATACTAAGCTGTAATAGCGCAGGACAAGACTCTGCAAAGACTATTAGACAACAGCTACTGGGGATCTAAGAGCTGAATTGAGATTCCCACAGGTCATACAGTGCTGAGAGACACTGAAGTGGCAATCATCCAGAGTGGAGAGGCATCACGGAACATTCTAAACATTCAGTTGTGACTTGTGGCTTGTATTCCTTCTGATGAGAAGTCAGTCATCATGCTTATTATGGTTCCCTATATGTTATGTAATGTGGTCTTTCCCCTTGCTGCTTTCAGGATTTTTTTTTCCTTTAGCATTAGGGTTTTTTTGTTTTGTTTTTTTTTTTGAGTTGGAGTCTCACTCTTGTCACCCAGGATGGAGTGCAGTGGCACACTCCTGGCCACTGCAGCCTCCACCTGCTGGGCTTAGGTGATCCTTCTGCCTCAGCCTTCCAGATGGCTGGAAATACAGGTGCACATCACCACGCCTGGCTAGTTTTTGTGATTTATTGCAGAGATAAGGTCTCACCAAGTTGCCCAGGCTGGTCTCAAACCCCCGGACTCAGGCAATCCTCTCAACTCGGCCTCCCAAAGTGCTGGGATTACAAACTGAGCCACTGCACCCGGCCAGCATTAGTTTTTAACAATTTGTCTATAATATGCCTAAGCATGATTTCATGATTTTGTTTGCCTTTATCCAACATGGGGATCTTTGAGATTCTTGGATCTATGGGTTGATTTCTTTAAAAAATCAAATTTGGAAATTCTTGACTTTTCTTCAAATATTTTTTCTGGCTTTTCTCTCTTTTTGGGACGCTAAATTACAAATATGTAAAACTGATTAATTTTGTCCCATAGGTCACTAAAGCTGTCTTCATTTCTTTCTGTCCTTTTCTCTGTGATTCGGTTTGGATAGTTTGTAATGACCTTTATTCTAGTTTATTGGTACTTTCTTCTATATGTTCAATATGCTGATAAGATCATCTGATAACATTTTATTTCAGTTCTAGAATTTCCATTGGTTCTTAAAAAAAAAAGTTTGCATTTATCTGCTGAGATTCCCTATCCGTTCACTCATTTTGTCTATTTTTTCTCTTACATTATTGACCATCTTGCTATTAGCTGTTTCAAAGTCATTGGCTGCTAATCCATCGTTTGTGCCATTTTTTTCTTCTGAATCTTATTTTCTTGCTTTTTTTTTTACAGGTTTCATAATTTGTTATTGTATATTATGGATATTACATTGTGGAGAGTATATTTCTGTCTTCTTTTAGAGGGTGCCTGCTGTAATAGGTAATAAATTTAATGGTGAATAATCTAGTTTTATTAAGATGGGTTTAGAGTAGCTCTTATTTTAAGGTGTGTTCCTAATTCCCACTGCATGGTCTTTCTGAAGTCACAACTGAATGCTCAGAATGTTCAGTGATGTCTCTCCAACCTGGAAAACTGTCAAGTTCTTACATTAGATATAAATGTTACAATATCAATTCATTGTAGACTCAAGGATGCATGTTATAATGAACAATAGTTTTCTAAAGTGGTAAAGCAGGCACTTTAGAAAATATCTAATGAAGTAGATAAAGTGGAATAAAAAAACCTAAACTTGCTTTATTCAAAGGATGGCAGGAAAGGAGAAAAAAATGAAGAAAAAACACACAGCATAAATAGATAATAATTACAAGATGGAAGATTTAAACTGAACATATCAACAATTATATTAAATGGTACTAGACTAAACTCACCTGTAGAAGGCAAAGATGGTCAGACTCTAGAAGGCAATGTAAAGGCACCTTTACATTGGATAAAAAAGCAAGATCTAGGTATCTGGTTTTTTATAAGGATTACATTCTAATATTAAAGACACAGATAGTTTAAATATATAAGAATGGAAAGTTGTTCTAGTTATATCATACAAATGCTAAATATAAGAATACAGGCTAAAATAAAATATCAGATAAAGATTTCAAGAGAAAAATATTACCAGGGACAAGGAGAAACATTGTATAAGAATAAAAGGGCCAACTCATCAAGGAAAAATAATGATCTTAATGTTTATGTTTTACACCCATTAACAGAGCTTCAAATAGATGAAGCAAAAAGTGGCAGAACTAAAGGAAAAAACAACAAATCCACAATTATAATTAAGGTTTTTAACACCCTTCTCTCATCAGAACATCAGGAAGTATCTTAGTCTGTGCTGTTATAACAAAATACCTGAGACTGAGTAATTTCTAAAAAAACAGAAGTTTATTTCTCACAGTTTGGGAGGCTGGAAGTCGGAGATTAAGACACTAGTATTTGGTTACTTGTGAGGGCTATATCCTCTAGAGGAGAGGAACACTGTATCCTCACTTGGCAGAAGACAGAAGGGCAAAAGGGTGCAAAATACCTCCAGCAAGCCCCTTTAAAAGGGCACCTAATCCCATTTTTGAGGGAAGGAGCCCTCATGAAGGCCCTACCTTTGAATATCATCACACTGACCATTAAATTTCAACATATAAATTTTGGAGGGTATACATTCGTACCACAGCATTAAGACTATGAAAATTTAGGAACTGAGCTGGGCGCAGTGGCTCATGCCTGAAATCCCAGCACTCTAGGAGGTGGAGGCAAGAGAACTGCCTGAGCCCAGGGGTTCGAGACCAGCCTAGGCAACTTAGGGAGACTTCATCTCTACAATAAATAAAAAAAATTAGCCGGCTATGTTGGCGCAAGCTTGTGGTCCAGGTACTTGGAAGGCTGAGGCAGAAGGATCACCTGAGCCCAGCAAGTAAAGGCTGCAGTAGCTGTGAGCATGCCACTGCACTCTAGCCTGGGTGACAAAGTGAGACTCCAACTTAAAAAGAAAAGATTTAGGACAACATCATCAATGAAACAAACCTAAGTGCATGTATAGCACACTCCACCAAATGACTGCAGATCACACATTATTTTCAAGTGCATGTGGAATATTCCTCAAGACAGACCATATGCTGGGCTATAAAACAGGTATCAAAAATTTAAAAAATTTTTAATATTTATTTTAGAGTTGTGGAGTACATGTGAGGATTTACTACATAAGTAAATTGCATGCAATACATTTTAAAGAAATGAAAACATGCAGAGTATATTATATAAACATAATGTAATTAAATCAGAAACCAGTAATAGAAAAATATCAAATATATGTAATTAAGCAAAGGTGTTAAATTGGGGAAGAAAAAGGTGCTTCTGAGAATAAACCAATAGAACATAGTAAATATAACCTAATTTCCTTATATGAAAGAAGCATCTAAATTCATGCTATGTCATGTTCACTATAACCATGGGGGACAGGAATTTTCTTAGAGAAGCAATTAGAATGCATTCCAATGTGTTCCTTAAAAAACAAATCTTTGCCTATGGTTATCTTCTTAATCATAGCTGACAAATTTATAGACTCAAAAAGATGTTTTGCATACTTTTTAATCATATTATAATTAAGTGTCATTTATAACAAATGGCAGATTCCATTCTAAGCAAAATTTATTTTATTAACACTATATCAGGACAAAATCCATGGAGAATAAATTTGTAAAGCTAGTCAACTCTTGATTGTCTATGTAGATGAATATGAGTCATGGAATTGGCATGTACATAATCTAAAAGTCACTAGTGAAATGTTTTAAATGAGAGTGGAGGGAAGGGATCCTGACTAAGAAAGAGGAGAAAGGAGGCTTCTGTGGTGGCGGCAATGTTCTATTTCTTGACCACCACATAGGTTAAGTGTTTTCACTTTGAGATAAATAATTCAAGTTGCATCCTTTTGATTTGTGAATCTTCAACTTAAAAAAGGCTAAATTTAAAAAGAAATCTTAAAAACTGAAAGATTACATGATCTAAGTTCCATGAAGTTTTAGATTTCTGTCTTGTTTGGCATTATATTCCCAGCACTTGGAACTTTATCTGCACACAGAAAGGACGCAACATATATTGAAATGAATTACCTAAAAAAAAATCCAGCTGGGCTCGATGGCTCAGCCTATAATCCCGCATTTTGGGAGGTCAAGGTGAGTGGATTTTCTGAGCCCGCGGGTTCAAGACCCGCCTGGCCTTCTTGGCAAGACCTCATCTCTACAATAAATAAAAAAAAATTAGCTGGGTGTGGTAGGGCATGCCTGTAGTTCCAGCTACTTGGAAGGCTGAGGCGGAAGGATCACCGGAGCCCAGCAGGTTGAGGCTGCGGTGGCCGGGAGCATGCACTGCACTCCAGTCTGTGTGACGGAGTGAGACTCCAACTCAAAAAAAAAAAAAAATCCTACTTACATTAACCATATTGATTTAATCATCTCATGAGGTATACGTATATCAAAATGTCATGTTGTACACCACAAATACATACAACTTTTATCTGTCAATTGTACCATAATAAAGCTGGAGGGGGAGGGAAAAAATTATAATAAAAAAGAAGATCTTACTATGCAGAGATAGAAGAGCTTATACAAATGAGCAAAGGTTTCCCTACTTCACTCTTCCTTACTTCCAATCCTGCTTTTCAAAGAGATTGACTTTTTTTTTTCCGTTGGAGTCTCACTCTGTTGCCCAGGCTGGAGTGCAGCGGCACACTCATGGCCACCGCAGCCTCTACCTGCTAGGCTCAGGTGATCCTTCTGCCTCAGCCTTCCAAGTAGCTGGAACCACAGGCATGTGTCACCACGCCTGGCTAATTTTTTTAATTATTACTTATTGTAGAGATGACATCTTGTCATGTCACTCAGGCTGGTCTCAAACCCCTGAGCTCAGGCAATCCTCTCGTCTCCACCTCCCAAAGTGCTGGGAAAACAGGTTTGAGCCACCATGCCAGGTGAGCCTGACTTTTTAAAACTCTTAACTCTCTCTTTTTGGTTTACCTGGTGGTTCTTTTCATATCTCCAATGGCATGCTTACATATTTTTTCTTAATTTAGGACATTATGTTCCTTCTATGATCAGTGAGAATTCAGTTCATACTGCTACCACCTACCCCTTTTCCTCCTCCAAATATAGTTATAAGTAGTGAGACCTTGAATTTAGAATTCAAATATTAAATTTTTATATTCTATTTCTGTCTCAAGTTTGCAATCAACTTCTTTGGCGAAATATGAATGTGAGAGGCTGATTAATAATGAAAAGATGCAGCCGGGCTCGGTGGCTCAGCCTGTAATCCTGCGCCTTTGGGAGGCTGAGGTGA